CCAAACAGAAATTTGGGAATGAACTTCCGTTGGCCCGTTGGGCCCGTTTTTCACCCTCCCTTTCCTGAAGTCGGAGGAAGGCGAAAAACAGCCCAACAGGCCAACCGGAAGTTCATTCCCAAATTTCTGTTTGGGCCTGTTTTTCACCCTCCCCAAGCTCCAGAGGCTTTCCTGAAGTCTGAGGAAGACGAAAAATAGCCCAACAGGCCAACCGGAAGTTCATTCCCAAATTTCTGTTTGGGCCTGTTTTTCACCCTCCCCAGGCTTTGGGAGCTTTCCTGAAGCCTGGGGTGGGCAAAAATGGCTTCCCCAGCCCGCTGGAAAGCCTCCAGAGCCCAGGGAGGGCGAAAATTCCCCCCCCCCACACGCGGGGGTTGCTCGAGCGGTGGGGGGGGGTGTCACTCGTGCATGCTCAGGTGTGTGTGAGCACACGCACACAGTTTTGGCACACCTTTAGAAAAAGGTTAGCCATCACTGACATAGGGTATATAAGATATCACTTACCTGCCTATTATAAATATTAACAGCAATCCTTTTACGTAACACTAATTCCATTGCAGCAGGATGGCTGAGTTGGACTGTAATTTTCAGAATCAAATATATTCTCTCATTTTGAGGTGTTACTCTGTTTAGGTGAATTGAATCATGTACAGAAGAGTCCCAGGCTGCAGTGGCTGAAATCTAAAGGGATAGTTTGGTTGAAGGTGAAACAGAAAATGCAATTCACTTCTATGTGGATCTTAAGGGTAAAGATACCTTTTCTTGAAGAAAATCATTTATCATAGATAATGAAGTGTACATTGAGACATCTAACAGACGACTAAAGCAATACCCCATTACCTGTTAAAGTTGAGAGGGGGCTGGTGCTAGAATTCATAATTATGCTTCTAACTGCCATTCTAAGACCATTCCCACCAACACTGACAGGGCAATATATATTTGTATATAAAATGAGAGCTAATCCCCCCCCCCTTCTAAAACTGATGTTAGTAATGAAAACTCTGCAAGAAAACAACAAAGCTCAAGAGAGCACCAAGAACCCCACACAGTTCAACCCTAAACTACAAATATTCTCTTCTTTTGTTGACCTAAATGCTTTCACATTTATCATATCCTCATTGAAAAGTCTAGGCCAAGTGGGAGGAGCAACTTAGTTTTAGGATATCCTTCTGCAGTGTAAGGAAGATCTTTTACGTATTTTTACATTAAGAAAAATATGCTATCGTATGTCTTATTTAACATAACGTAATACAACCTCATTTGGATTACAGTGAAGCTCTAACTAATGCTGCTTTCGTAAATCTGGTGTCCTCTTATTAGAACTGCCACTCCCAGAATTCCCAACTATTGGCCATAATATCTGTATTTTGAAAAGTTATAGTCTGAACATATCTATCTAACAGAAGATTAATGAAGTTCAGTCTACATCTTATTTTCCATGTCAGTCAGTCAGATGTTGAGAGAACTGAGTGAAGTCATTATAACTAATAATTGAATATCCATCCATTCATTCATTCCTTTCTTCATCAAAAGGGCTACAATAATAAGATTTAAAAAACTACAGAGTTTTTTTTAGGATACTTTTTAAACATCAATATGTTAAATTTTATTCTTAAGGAATAGTTGTTCAACAAATAAAATGCAAGAAATAATGAGTATTAAAGAGTTTTGAGTGAAATAATATTATTTGTATAACAGACCACTAGTAATAGAACCAGAATAACCATAAATCTATTTACCTCATCCTTATTGTGCTTTATTATCGGCAAATAAAAAAACTGACTTCCATGCTCCTTTGGTAGTATTGAATTCACTCCTGATGCATGTGGACCTATTAGCTGTTCGTTGGCACTAAGATCATCAGCTACCCACAAAGAAAAGGAAGTTACAATTAAGGCAGAACTAATTTTAAATTCTACCCAGCATCATGTGGGTAGAACTATAAAAACACACAAAAACCATAAAATAAATCCTAAATACAAATTGCACTGCTGAGAAATAGATTTCTGCTTGATTGGCAATCAATATCAACAGCTGGATTCTTGAATGAGGACAGTTGCTGATAGGGAGGTATTCAAGTTTTTTTAAGTGCAATCTAAATGTATCACAATACTTGATAAAACTTGATTCAAATGTCTATAATAATCCTTCCATGTTTCATCTAAACATCCATATTCCAACTAAATATAGCAGAATAGATTTCTTCAACAACAGCCAGTTCCTTGCTTAATTTATCACCCACCTTTATGAAGAAGCTGAAAACCTACATGCAATTTTTGAACAGATTTGTATTTTTTAAATTATTATGTTCCATAAGCTACTTTTTTATTTATGAGTTACCATAGTTTATTTCACTGCACTGCCTCAACAGAAAGACATCTAGATGGCCAATATTTTTTATTAAGATTCCTAAATATATCTTTCCATATTGGAAAGGGATTTCATTGCCCAAGACTGGACTATTCTCAACAAATGCTGTACTTGCCAAGTCACTTCAGGTCCAAGGTCCAGTTGAAAACTTACTATTTTCTATGCAGCACTAAACTGTATCATGAATTCAGCTCAGTATCATGAATACCAAAATGGAACTTACCGTTTAGATCAAGGAAAAGTACAGGGACATGTGTTTCCATTCCAGGAGGAGGGACCCTAATAACAAAGGAAACATATCAATCAATAGATTGAATCATAATTTGCATTGATATTTTAATGGTAAATTATAGGTCTCCTGGGTTATGAAAGAGGCAATGCTTCACACTCTCCTCCAAAGGGCATTCTTAGACCCAATGCTTTTTGGTAACTATTGTCTAATCTCCAAGTTTCCCTACTTGGACAAGGTTGTCAGTCTGCAGACCATAGGTTGGGGATAGGAGGGACTGGGCCTATAATAAAGACACACTATCTCCTGACCTTAGAACAGTAAAGCATCTCCAACTTCATGAAAGTAGGTACTCACTAAAACTTTCTCTTGGAATAAATGTACTGAATAGTTTAAAACCATGACATTATCTTGATGCAGGCTACATAAAAATTGTGGGTTAAAGCCAACATATTGAAAGGCACTTAGAAACATGGGGGATATCAATTCAGAGCATGGAGCACTGATTTAATGTTTTTAGCGACTAGTCCCGGCTAATGGGCAGCCTAATATAAGATTTCACAATAACTCTGGAATTTCAGATGATATTTGATCAGCTCATCAGATAGATGTCAGCGATGTTCTCACTTAGGAATTATACAGATGCCCCACCATTGACTTAGGTAATAAGCCATTAATGCCTCAAACCTGACCATTCCATTCCTAATTCTTTTCCCCCCACTGTGCTGAGGTGGCGCAGTGGTTAAATGCAGCACTGCAGGCTACTTCAGCTGATTGCAGTTCTGCAGTTCAGCTGTTCAAAT